GTGCAGGATGAAAACAATAAAAACAAGCCTAAGGTAGCATAATTCCAGCTCGATCTCAGTTCGAATCGTATAGCAGAGATTGAAGATGAGAACCTGGTGGGCCTGTCGAGCTTAACCCATCTGCACTTATCCAATAATTCAATATATCATCTGGATGCAGCGGTATTCGAATCCACCTCACAGCTACAGGAGCTGTATTTGGCTCGCAACCTACTCATCCAGGTACCATTGGCCCTCGGCAAACTGTTCAAACTCAGGCATCTTGATCTATCCAGCAATCAAATCAGGTTTGTTGCTCTTTACTTGCATCGTACCTTTAATTATGATTTATCATGACTTGCTTAATGGTTTATGTTTAAGACTCGGAGAACAATGTTTAGGCAACAAATTAAAGACTCTCTCGTCGTGAATCCCTTTCCCTGGTACTTTTCCAATGATAAAAAATCCAATAAATAAAACATTTCTCTGTTCCTCTCATTGTTTTAGAGCTTAAATCATCACCTGTCGAACAAAACTTTGACGCCTTTGCGACTGAATTCATTCCGCTTTTAGAACTCAGCCTCAAACCGCTATGTTGATCGACTTTCAGTTTTCAGGATAACTAAGTCTCGACGAGGAACCGGATTTTGTTCTTAGTAGTCTCCTGCATCACCGCGCCTCAACACTCCCTAATATCTCCCAGCATCTGTCTTTCATACTCATTGAAGAACTTGTCAGTCTGTCGATCCTAAATATTCAACGAATTTTGATGCTTCTCCCATTTCCCTCCTTTTTTCGGCAGCTCCGGAGTGGGGGAAGAGACCATGTAGAACTGATAATCATCGCATTTTTTCGATTTTTTACGCGTATATTCCCCAAAGGCGGCTCGAAAAAAGGCTGGCATGTGGCGTCACGAATACGCACAGAGAAGCAATCAGTTAAAGCATCAGTACGAGATAATGTGCATTTGTGGATGATCTGGAATTGCCCATACTGGAGGGGAAAGTGGAGGGCCGAAAACTGGCCACTAGGAACAAAAAGAAGCAATTCATCACTGGAGAACAGTGTGACTTCCGAAGACGGGAAATGGGAAAGAAC